GGCTACATGTATTGCGCAACACACCAGCAGACATGAACTACAGCCCTCTCACGAGGGCGCGCCTCTCGGTCTCAGCTTGCAAATCAAATCAAAATGGCCGCAGGCGGGGGTAGACAAAAGTGTGTGTACTACGTCATGTACGATTGTTGTACTATGTAGGCCTTAGTTGTGTGGGAGAATGTAGGCTAGGCCTAGTGATACGCTTCCGACTTGTGACGTCTGTAGACGATTCTCGATACCGATCCTGATTCGTTGCCGAGAGACGAGGTGCTGGTCTGTCTACGGCCATGATTGAAGTTGAAGTTTCGGTAAAAGTAAAGATCAATTTTAGCTGAGTCTCCACTCTTTGTTGGGCCACAGATTGGTCACCTTGACGTCATTCGTGAAAGATCATATAACATTCAAGAATTGGGGTGTGGGGGTGGGGGTGGGGGAAGGGGGTCAAAATTGACTTCTAACAGTAACAGACCCCCTCTCCACTTAATAAGAGCAACCTTGACTATGATCCTTGCTCCAGAGACGGTTTTTACGTTTCACACCGTCGTGGCACTGTTTCAGTTTCAGTTTCAATCTCGAGCAAACGTCACGTAGTGTATCTTATCTTCTCGTGACCATTTACCTACGTCCCTGTTATAAATCTTGCGGTGGCGTTCAGGGTAAAGGGGGTGTGGTGAATTATGCCGGTTAATAGTTATACCAAAGATCTTTGGTTATACTAGTACAATGTATAGTAGTTATAGGCACTGTTTTGAGAATTTTGAAGGCCATGAGGGCACTTTCAGTACACGTGCAACAAGGTGCTCTGATGGTGCCACTTGTACCGTGACGTCATTGATAAGTGTGGGTTTTTCCAGCTGGCATGACGTCAAGGCACAATACTTCGAGACAAACAGTTCTATTTGTTTGAGCAAACAGAAGTACTGAAGTACGTGTACACAGACGCTTTAACTACGGCCATTCAGTACTGGTATAGAGTAAGACAGACAGAAACAACAAAGTGGAATAAAAAGAAGCACACCAACCCGAATAAAAGCCATTTAGTGCCGAAAACCATAAAGGAAAGACAGACAAAAAGAAGAGAAAGAAAGACAAGAAGTAAACCTACGACGACCAACGGCACCCTCCCCAATCGCCCGCAGACGGAGGTAAACGTTTCAAAACGGCTCTCACGAGGCCATTTATTTATCAGAACATCTTGTCCCTGAGTTTAGATACGACTCGTGCTTCGCCCAGTCACGCGATCTGTGAATCACAAATCACACACTTTCAGAATCAGAGTCAGAGCGGAGGGGGAACAAAACCACGTTCTTCTTGTTTTTACACTATCATCGACATACTCTAAACCAGTTAGGAGGCTGGCTGCTTCAGTTCTAGAGACCATTGCCCTTTTGTTTTCACGCCATCATTCATAGACATAATTTATATCTTTTAGGAGGCGGGCTGCTTCAACTCTACAGGCTACCTACACTGAGTGGGATACATCATTTCAGCAGAAATACAGACAGACAGCCGATGGAATTTCTTCCCCGCCACACAGGAATCGAACCCGCGCTTCTTTTTCAGGGATGGCCAAAGCTTATCCAATACACCACAGATGCTAATATCCTCCATCTTTCCCTTCAACTTGTTTTGTTTTTTTTAAAATATTTTTTTGTATTATCGTTTTTTTTCCTCGCTCCCATGCCACAAATTAGATCATTTAGAAGGCTGGCTTCGACTTCGACCCTGCCTGTCAGTACCAACCCGGGCTGAGAGGGATACAGCATCCCAGCAGGAAAGACCCGAGATACCACTGTACTCGATATAATACATAATATGTTCTCGGGAATTGAACTCTGGTCTCCTGCGTGCGACAGCGAAGTGCCTATCCGCAACGCCACGAGTTCAGATCCCCTTTATCTTCAGTTGAACTCTGGAGTGTTTACACGTTCACGATAGCCCTTCTGCCAAGCAGTAGTACTGATACAGTATCCTCTCGCCATATCATGGTTCACATTCCCTTGACTCAATATATCGGGGGTTTTTTCTCCTGTCCAATAATATGACCTATGTCACCACTTTCTGAACACTCCTATGGGTCTTAGTATATTGTCATATTATTCTTTTCATTGTTCAATCCATTGTTATACACAATTA